GACTTATACTGGTCTTTGCAATATGTGAGAGAAATAAATGTGTTAGAATTTGACAAAGAAATTGCTTAATAATATTGCTTCTGGTGTGCTTCCAGCTAARACTTTTTAATTTTTGTATTCATTTACAGACTTAACAATTTTGAGTAGAGGCTTTGCACCATCACATGCTGACGCCCATAATATAGCTTGGACTGCCTGTGGTTAAATGGTAGAACAATAAAATCCCTTTGTGTAAATCAATTACCGATATATTGTTCCTGCCACCTAACATGGCTGCCATCATGTCATGGTGCAAAATCTCTATAGGATGTTTGCATAATGGCATCATTTGACTACCACTTCCAGAATACCTTGCACACTTCTGTTTGTACAGTTAATTAGCACCAATTGTCTTACTATTTTTATGAGGTAATACAAATTTCAATGAGAAAGGAAATTTGCTAAGCATCAGGGTAGTGGGACACATATGACAGGTCCAAATGATGTCTTCATGCAAATGTCGCATTAAAACAGAACATCTTACAATGATAGTGAATTACCGGTAAGTTTTATGATGGTAGTGTCATTACTCCTTTACAACTTGAGTGTTGTCAGGGTGACATGTTRATTCATTATTAATGCATTTCTAGTGATGTAATGATTGCCCAAACATATTTAAGAATAGTAACTCTTAAAGGAACAATTTGAAGGTAAGATTTCAGCAAGCCTGTTTAGGTTGAATTTAAACAAATCCTGAAATGAAAAACAATATGTGTAACAAATGAGAGAAAAAAGTTTCAATCATTTTTCATTGTCAAACTGTCATGTCAAACCTTTTCTATCATAATTAGGCTCATCATAATTCTGAAAAAAATAATGCCTTTTTTTCAAAAAAAAAAATTTTTTTTTGCATTTTTTTTGGTGGCTACTGCCTCTTCGAGGCGAAGCCACTTTGACATTGAGTTGTGTAAGTCTGTAAGTAAGTCCGTAAGTAAGTCCGTAAGTAAGTCCGTAATACCACAGGAAACATCAAGACTCTCAGCAAAACAAAACTATTTCCCTTTAGAGCAGTTCGATTTCATACATGTAAACATTAGCCACATGCCTTTGTTGAGAGCCTATTTTGAAGTTTGGAATACATTTGACTTGGGAAAAATTTCAAAGTCATGTCTTACATTAATGACTGTTCAAAATTGTAAGATGCATAGTTCATGCAGATTTGTTGCATAAATCGGTAATTGGCTTGTCATAATAACTTGAATCACCCTCTGCATGTAATATTTCAAACTATTACCTAAGACTTTCCACGATTTTCAAATAGACATCCAAATAACAGTGACAGAAGTTATCAACCTATTTAAATAATATCTAGGACTCCAATATTTTACCATACTTTCCTGTTCATATTCTGCCATTTTTTAAACGTATTCAAGATTATTGCCAATTCAGTGAATTACAAGTGCTTTCATAAACTTGTGAAATATATATGATATATCAAGGAATCTTAGGGTTTTGGGTACTATACTTCAGTCTTAAAATTTAAAAAGATATTGACATCCTTTGACAGTGTTCAAGATATTATTCATGATATGATCCATCCTTTACAGGGAAGGGGGAGGGGGGAAATGTGAGGAAAAGACCATGAACCATATATTTTTGGAACACTGAAAGGAAAAAATCTCAAGCTACGTATACAATATTAATTTAATATCAAGTTTATTTCACAAGTTTATGAAAGTTGGCTGTTTCCTAACTTACATTAATAAGGTGCATTTACCAGCATTTTAGCTTTATTTCCCTTGACTTTTACGATATTATGTCTGTAACTATTGAGCAATAAAATAATGAAAATGGGGGAGGGTTATGCGCCACACCGCATCATTCGTTTGAGGCATGCTGCAAGTCATGCAGTTGAAGACGTAAATGGGCCATCATATCTTATTTTTCCTTTCCTTGGAAAGACCTCCAACATTTCTGTTTTTCATCCTTTATTTATTTTTTACCCCATCCATCCTTTCAGTTTATCAGGCATCATGTTACTCACCCTTTGGAAGAGGTTCAAAAWCTCAWTGCAATGGTCCATACATACATTACTGTTGTAATTGGTCTATAACCAGTCTTTAAAGATATTGACAATGGTTACTAGAAATAATGGGGAGATAAATGAGAAATAAAGCACAATCAAAGAAAAGAGTAGCAGTAGACTACTTCTTCAAGTTGGATTATTTTCCAAAACAAAAAGAAAAAAAAACAATTTATTTTAGTTTGTTTAAAAACTCTTGCCAGCAGCATGCCTTAAACGAATGATCACCTCGCACACACTCAAGTTGTCTGTTGTTCATACTTTATTTCTTGGAGTTAAACCCAGTTGTAATTGACCAGAACAAGTTGAGTGATTTTACTTAATGCTCAAACCAACCCTAAGACAATGTAAATTTGGCACTCTTACACATTTTATATCAAATTATTTACGCAACAATAACTTCAATTCGTGAACTATAATTTTTCCAGTGATTTCTCAAAATGTTTCATTTTGGTTGGAAGTAACATCACTCTAAATAAATTGTGTACAAACTAATGATTTTGAAGCTGCTACACTTTGATTATAAGGACAGAGTTTTGAAAATCTTGCAAGTGTCAGTACAACATTTAAAAAAAGTCGAAATGGTTAAAAAGGCCAGTATGACTTGATGAGAAAACATTGGACCTTTGAAACTGACACAGAGGAAAACTTGTTTTTGCTCGATAAAAGATAGTCAAAGAAATAAAAAAATTGATGGTTAATCACAACTGGGTTTAACTCCTTTGTGGGGGGTGGGAGCTATCAAAACGGGGGGGAGGGGGATAAGACATAACCTGGGGGGAGGGGGATAAGACATAAACTGGGGGGAGGGGGTTAAGACATAAACTGGGGGGAGGGGGATAAGTCATTAACTGAGGGACGGGATTGGACAAACTAGGCAGAGGGGGGTAATAATGTCTATTGATATCTTGGGTTTTTTTGACTGGCAGTGACACTTAGGTTTCAGAATCAAGAAGGGGATTGATGGCACTTAGGATTTTTGAAGGTAAGAATTCTTTAAATTAGTGAATTTAGAGACTTAGAAAATTTTCAACTTTGTCTTTCTCATAACATGCCTTTCTTGTGTTGTGTGGTGTTAAAACAAAGTTTCACTTTGGATTTGGTGGTTTTCCTTTGTTTTTTTAATGAATTCCATCTTTACCCTCTCCACGCCCTTTTTGGACTTACAAAAAATATATACCTCCCCGAGGTCCCACCAGCACCAAGTCTCACTACCCCGGTAGACCAGGACCAGGCAGTACTTACTGTCCCGACAAGAGCCATCTTATGAAACCACAACCAGGTGGCTGCTCTGATGGTGAACACTGTCGATAAGGATATCAGACTTCTGACCCCCTACAGACTCGTGAGAGTACCTTGATGGCAAGCCAGCCTTTATACTGTGAAGATTAGTGCAATTAGGAGACTTCTAAGATAACCATTCCCCACTACCCATAGGTTTTACTGCACAACAGTGATGTATATCTTAGAGTGATGTGATCAATACACTCAAGCCGGTATTCAGACTTCCATAAAGTTTATGTGATTATCAAGACTAGTTTGTGAAGACTAAAATAACGAAGTTTCTAGGCTACTAACTTTTGAAAAATGAGCTGGTCTATCCCGAAAAGGAAACTACCATCATGTAATTTAATATGAAAAGCTAACATGGACTCTTTACCATGAACAATCTATTTATGTTTCCCTAGAGGACTAAGGCCTATAACGTATTCATTTAATTATTAATGTATTCAGAGTCTGCTAAAGGACTGGGTCTATTATGTATTCAATTAATTACTAATATATTTAGAGTCTGCTGAGGGACTGGGTCAATAATTTATTCAATTAAATATTAATGTTTTCAAAGTCTGCTGAGGGACTGGGTCTATAATTTATTCAATTNCTGAGGGACTGGGTCTATAATTTATTCAATTGAATATTAATGTTTTCAAAGTCTGCTGAGGGACTGGGTCTATAATTTATTCAATTGAATATTAAAGTTTTCAAAGTCTGCTAAGGGCCTGGGTCTAATTTACTCCAAATTCAATATTAATATATCCAGTGTCTGCTAGGGGAATGGATCTTTATTTGGTAGATTATGATTTATTCGGTACACCTCTTGGGACAGGAACAAAAGGACATCTGTTTTATCAGGCTAGGGGTTTCTCGGCAACAGGGATTATTTTCATGATAACACCACTTCTSAAACTTTTAGTGTAAGTAAAACTGAATTAAAGATCAATCAAATTTTGCCAGATATTTGCCTTGAAAATAAGGGGATAATGATTTTTTTGCTTCTTTTAAGCCAATATATTGATTTGGTTGTATGGTGATATCATGAAGTCTAAAAGTGTTTAATCTTGAAAATTAATTAATCAATTTCTTTTGAGGGACTTTTCCTATAAAAATCTAGTTTAGAAATGTCTAGTGGATTTGGTATAAGTGCCCGATGCATGATTTAGTTGTACAATCACATTTTGTTTGGACAAAGACAAGAACAGATCGGGAAAATCAACAAGTGTGAGTAACTGTGCCGCAGGTTACTCCAGCTGATACCAAATCCACTATTAATTTTACTTCAAAGAGACTGACCTATAGATCGATGTTAGAATTTTTATAAATGTTTTTATTTTGTTTAATGAGGTATACAAAGCCTTTGTCTTATATTCCTAGTCCTAGTCAAGTATTTATTATTTATATTTTGTTTCCTAAGATTAGTTTTTTCACCAGCAAAAAACTTCTTTGCAGAAGTAAATGATTCATAGTGAATGAAAAAAATATGTAATTTGAGTGTTTCAATTGTGATTTTGAATTAAATTTTGAGCAACTACAAGTATCAAAATTGACGATGCCCATTTCAAAGCATATAAACATAAGTTTGTTTTCCCTAACATTAATTTGGATCAAATGTATTTTGACTTTTGGTTTTGGACAGCTTGTGCAAATAATACTAGTGCTTTGGACATAATAGTTCATAGTAAAACACACCTCTTGGTTTGACTTATTATAATAGTTTCATTTCATTCAAGTGAAATTGTTTCTGGATTGTGAGGTATAGTGTTTTAATGCCATTCTTTGATAGCTTTATTCATTCATTTTTCATTTCACTTTTGCCTTTTTTGGCTTGGATTGATCATTTGCACTTTCGTGTATTATTTCATTCTTCTGCACAGCTGAATTTGTCCTAATCAATTAGTAAATTATAGTATAAACTGGATACTGTAATATCAATTTATGAATATCAAAATAATGATCCAGTTTTAATCATA